TAAAATGATTACTCTCATTACTGTTTAACCTAAGTTCTAGATTCTTTCATAATTTGTTCATATCAAATTTTATTTCTCAGGAAAAAAATGTACACATTTTATTTACAAAATTTTTATTTACAAGTTTTTAATCAATGAGTCATTTGATTAGCAATATCTTTTATCATTTTTGTGCTTCTTCAGCACTTTCTTATCGTTTCTTTTGTGTTTTGCATCTTTGCATTGAATTTACTTTGCCTCATTTTATTCATTAGGGAGTTTTGGAGTATAAATATCCTTTGTAATGGTTATTAAATATTAGCAGAAGATATTCTGCAAGCATTTAAATCTTATGTTTATTTGTTCATGTCACTAAAATCTGCCAAAATATTTTAATGCCATTAGAGTAAAATAATATATTTTCTATTTTATAATTTACATACAGTGAAATGGTTGTCTTAAATTTATAATTTAATGCATTTTAATAAACATATACATGATAAATGAACAAACACTACTCTGTTTTAGATAGGAAATATTTTCCTCACCCTGGAAAGTTTCTCACCCGCCACAGGCAGCCACTATTGATATCTGTCGTGATGGTTTAATTTTATCTTTCCTTGAATCTTGTAATAATAGAATTATACAATATCCATTTTGTTTTCTCTGATGATTTTTGCTCGATGTATTTTTGAAATTCACCGGTGTTACTTCATGTATTAGTAGCTCATTGTTTTTTACTGTTCAGCATTATACACAATACTTTTCAAAATTTGTTTTTCTAGTGATGGACATTTAGGTTGTTTCCAGTTTCTGCTGTTATGATGAAAGCTATCACAGATGTTCTTGGATGATCTTCTTGTGCACCTACACTTTCCTTTATCTTGGGTAAAAGCTTAGGAGTGGAGTTGCTGCATCGTGGAGTAGATATATTTAACTTTACAAGAAACTGTCAAACAAATAATAACATATTCTTTTGTTTGAGAATTTTTAAACACTTCAGAGATTGTAAAATGAAATATAAAACTTCCCCTCTTCGTCTCTCCATTTCCTCTTTCCAAAGATAACTAGTCCTAACAGTTTCTTGATCTGTGAATTTTAAATGCATCTACAATACCTATCTGTCCATAGATGTCTCTGCATCTTTTTTTAAAAAAACCAAAAAGTGGTCACAAAGGTACATACAAATTTTTGTCTCGTTACTTTTCACTTAACAGTGTAGCTTGGACTACTCTATATCAGCACATAATGATTTATCTATTTGCTGTTTGCTTCTATTTTTTTATTTTATTTTTCCAGCTTTATTAAGATACATTTGACATCTAACATTGCATAAGTTTAATGTGTACAAATGTGATAATTTGATACATGTATATATTGTGAAATGTTTACCACAATAAGATTATTGGACACGTGCTTCACTTCACATAAGTACTATTTTGTTCTTGTTCTTATGAGAGGAACATGTAAAATCTACTCTCATAGCAACTTTCAAGTCACAATACAACATTTTTAGCTATAGTCTCCATGCTGGACATTAGATCCTCAGAACTTATTCCTCTTATAACCGGAAGTTTGTTCCCTTTAACCAATATCATCACCCAGCCCCTGGCAACCACTGTTCTACTCTCTGTTTCTATGAGTTTAGCTTTTTAGATTCCACATATAAGTGAGAGCATATGGTATTTGCCTTTGTCTGACTTACTTCATTTAGCATAATTCCCTCAAGGTCCATCTGTGCTGTTGCGATTGGCAGAATTTTCTTGCTTTTTATGGCTGAACAATATCCCATTGTATATTCATCTACCACATTTTCTTTATCCATTTATCCACAGATGGACACTGAGGTTGTTTCCATGTCAAAGCTATTATGAATAATGCTGCATTGAACAGAGAAATACAGATATCACTTCAAGATAGTGATTTTATTTCCTCTGGATATATACCCAGAATGGGATTGCTGGATCACATGGCAGTTCTCTTTTTAATTTTTTGAAGAACTTCCATACTGTTTTCGTTAGTGGCTATACAAATTTATATTCATGCCAACAGTGTACAAGGGTTCCCTTTTCTCCACATCCTTGCCAGCATTTGTTATCTCTTGCCTTTTTGATAATAGCCATTCTAACAAGTGTGAAGTGATATCTCATTGTGGTTTGGATTTGTATTTGCCAGATAATTAGTGATGTTGAACATCTCTTCATGTACTTGTTGGCCATCTGTATGTCGTCTTTGGAAAACTGTCTACTCAGGCGTTTTGCCCATTTTTTAGTTGGATTATTTGTTTTTATGCTTTTGAGTTGTATGAGTTTTTTATATATTTTGGATATTAACCTCTTATCAGATAAATGGTTTGAAAATATTTTCTCTCATTCTGTAGGTTGCCTTTTCATTATGTTGGTTGTTTCTTTTGCTGTGCAGAAGCTTTTTAGCCTGATCTAGTCCCACTTGTTGATTTTTGTTTTAGTTGGTTGTGCTTTTGGTGTCATATCAAAAAGATCCTTAAGATCAATGTCAAGGAGCTTTTTCCCTATGTTTTCTTTTGGAGTTTTAAGGTTTCAGGTCTTACATTTAAGTTTTTAACTAATTTTAAGTTAATTTTGTGAGTGGTGTAATATAGGGGTCCAGTTTCATTCTTTTGCATGTGATTGTCAAATTTCCTAACACCATTTATTGAAGAGACTGTCTTTCCTCGTTAAGTATTCTTGGCTCCCTTGACAAATATTAGTTGATCATATATGCATTGGTTCATTTCTGGGCTCTGTGTTCTGTTCTATTGATCTGTGTGTCTGTTTTTATGCCAGTACCTTGCTATTTTGTTTGTTATAGCTTTGTAATATATTTTGAAATAAGGAAGTGTGATGCCTCCAGCTTTGTTGTTCTTTCTCAAGATTACTTTGGCTATATGGGATCTTTTGTGTTTCCATATGAATTTTAGGATTATTTTTTCTATTTCTGTTTCTGTGAGAAATGCCATTGGAATTTTGATAAGGATTGAATTGAATGGACATATTAACAATATCTACTCTTCTGATCCATGAACATGAGACATCTTTCCATTTGTTTGTGTTCTTCAATTTCTTTCTTCAGTGTCCTATAGTGTTTGGTGTATAGAGCTTTCAGTTTCTTGGTTAAATTTATTATTAAGTATTTTATCCTTTTCATGCTATTGTAAATGGGATTGTTTTGTCTGATATAAGTATAGCCACCTCTGATCTCTTTTGGTTTTCATTTGCATGGAATATCTTTTTCCATCCCTTCACTTTGAGCCTATATGTGTCCTTATAGCTAAAATCAGTCTCTTGTTGTAGCGTATAGTTGGTTTTTTTTTTTTAATCCATTCAGCCACTCTCTGCTTTTCAATTGGAGAATTTAATCCATTTACATTTAAAGTGATTATTGATAGGTAGGGACTTACTAATGCATCTTGTTGATTATTTTCTGCCTGTTTTGTAGTTCCTTTGTTCATTGCTTCCTCTTTTGCTGTTTTCCTTTGTGAATTGATGATTTTCCATAGTGGTATACTCTGATTCCCTTCTTTGTGTGTGTGTGTGTTTCTACTGTAAATTTTTGCATTGTGCTTACCTTGAGACTTACATGAAACATTTTATAGCTATAACAGTCTATTTTAACATGATTACAGCTTAACTTCAATCATATACAAAAACTCTACCTTTTTATTCCCCCTTATGTTATGGGTTTTTTCTTTTTCCTTCTGAAGATTAGCCCTGAGCTTACATTTATTGCCAATCTTCCTCTTTTTTTACTGGAGGAAGATTAGCCCTAGGCTAACATCTGTGCCAATCTTCCTCCACTTTACATGTGGTCACTGCCACAGCATGGCTGATGAGTGTTAAAGGTCTGCCCCCTGGGATCTGGGCCACCAAAGTCGACCATGCGAAACTTAACCACTATGCCACGATGCAGGCCCCCACATTTTATGTTTTTGATGTCACGATTTACATTTTTTAAGATTGTGTGTTTATTAATTTTTGAAGCTATAGCTAATTTTAATACTTCTGTCCTTTAACCTTTATACTAGAGTTAAGTGATTAACACACCACCATATTTACATTACTGGAGTATTCTGAATTTGACTCTATGCTTATCTTAATGGTGTGTTTTATATTTTCATATGTTTTCATTTTACTAATTAGAGTCCTTTCATTTCAGCCTGAAGAACTCCTTTCAGCATTTCTTTTAAGGCAGGTCTAGTGGTGATGAACTCCCTCAGCTCTTGTTTGTCTGGGAAACTCTTTCTCTCTACTTCATTTCTGAAAGATACTTTGCTGGCAAAGTTGCTGGGGTCGTTTGCAGAGCAGGCCATTGGGAGCTGTGTTCACTTCCTCTGCATGACTGATATTGATAGCCTCTGTCTTTCTTCCTTGTTCTAAGCTATCTCTATACATCTCAGCTTTGCTAGTCTCTTGGTGGGATGAAACTGAAGGAGTGCCCCCAAAGGGTGGGAAAGCTGGTCACTCACCCTGTTCTCTCTTTCCCAGGGAGGGGAACTATTTTCAAGTTGGAATGTTCCCTCTTGATGCCAAGCAGTGTCTGCCTGGGGGACGGGATGATGCAGGCAAAATTAAACTATCTTCCTTCCCTTTGTGTGTGTTTTTTTCCAGGTTTTTTTGTTCCTCTATATTGCTGAAGTTTCTTGAGTGGATTGCTGGGCTCCCCCAGGGCTATTTTTGTTTGTGGAAAACTATCTAGTTGTTGATCTTTGTTGGGGCATGGAGGCTGGGGTCTCCTACTCTGCAGTTTTGGTGCCGTCACTCTGGACAGTTCCTCTGTTTGCTTTTAATAGCTGCATGCTATTTTGAATACCTTCTTGTGAGAGTTAAGCCAATTGAAGAAAACAGAGAAAACTTCTAAAGATATTCTCTTGTGGGTTTTAGTTAATATTTGTGTTATAGTTGCTTTATCAAGGACAACAATTTCACAACATAGTTTTGTACATTATTTTGCTTATTTAAAAAATTTGTACTAACTGTTCACTGAAAGTTTTGTTTTCTTTTTAGAAGACAATGCAACGTCACAAGCTTTGGTTCTGTTTGGTCCTCCTAAGGAAACTGTTGAGATTTTTCATGAAAGTAAAATGACAAATACTGCAGGTGAGGACTGAATGTAAATTGTATAATAACCTATGTAAGCTATATTTATATTCACTCATTAGTTTGTGATGACAATATTGTATTTTTATTAACAAACCTTAATATCATTAATAGTTAACACAGTAGTGCTATGTAATATTAAGAATACAATATTGTAATATATTGTTAATAACAATTTTGTTCATAAGAATTGTTCACCATTTCAGAAATGTATGAATTTTTTTTCCTGGGGTAACATCTGTGCCAAGCTTCCTCTATTTTTCTGTATGTGGGTCACCAGCACAGCATGGCTGCTAACAGAGACGTGTAGGTCCACACCCAGGAATTGAACCTGGGCTGCTGAAGTGGAGCATGTGGAACTTAACCACTAGGCCACTAGGTCTTGCCTATGAGGAATGTATGAATTTTTAAAATAAACGTTTTCTTTGTTCTCATTCTGAGAATGTCAGGTACTAGAACCTTTCTGGTTCATTGAGAATATGTTTTTTAGAAGAGAAAGAAAAGGATGAATGTTTTGGGTGTGAAATCTAGAATTAAAATTTGTTCATTGGGAGTTCATAAAACATTATCTCTGAAAGTATTTCTGATATTGTATGCAGAAAGAGGTAGAAAGAGATGAGGAAATGTATAGGGGTTCATATTTGTTTCATCCCAGATCATTCTGGTAGAGAACTCTTTATATTTACCAAAACATTTTAATCTTGATTTTGCGTTTCTATCAGAAATGTATGAGTTCCAGCTGTTCCATATCCTCATTAATACTGGCTTTGATGACATTTTAATTTTAGGCATTATAGTGATTGTGAAATGGTTCCGTACTTTGAGTTAAATTTGCACTTTCTTGATGACTGATGATGTTGAGCATATTTTTACATGCTTACTAGTTATTTGTATGTTGTCTTTTGGAAGAATCCAAATCTTATGCCCATTTTTTATTGGGTTGTCTTCCTGTATAGGAAGTTGTAAATTTTCTTCACACATTCTAGGTATAAGTCATTTGTCAGATATATATATATTTCCTCCCATTCTCTTGCTTACCTTTTCATTTATTATAATGTCATTTTGAGGAGCTGAATGTTTTGATTTTGATGAAGTGTAATTTATTATTTTTTCTTTAATATTTCTCCCTCCCTCCTTCCCTCCCTTCCTTCCTTCCTTTTTTCCTGCCTGCCTACATGCATTTTAAAGATATTTTTCTATTATATTCTATCCTGTATTGTTTCTGATGAGAAATGTAATGGTTATTCATATCCATGTCTCCCTTATGTAATGTGTCTTTTTGTTTTCTGGCACCTTTAAAAATTTCCTCTTTATTGTTGGTTTTCTGTGGTGCTCCCAGGTATAATTCTCTTTACACTTTATTTGTTTGGGATTTACTGAACCACTTAGAGGTGTAAGTCAATGTTTTCCATCAAATTTTGAAATTTTTTGGCTGTTATTTCCACAAATATCTTTCACTCCAGATTTCACTCTCTTCTTCCAGAACCTCCACCTCACACGTGTTAAACTATTTGATTTTTGTCCCACAATTCCTTGAGGATCTGTTTGTTTGGGTTTTTTTATTTTTCTTTCTGTACTTCAGTTTGGATAATTTCTATCAATTCATCTTTACTCCGCCATATCTAATTTGTTGCTAAGTCAAACCAGTTTTTTTTTATTTAAATTTTCATACTTTTCAGTTTTAGACTTTCCATTTGGTTCTTTTTCATAGTTTCCATTTCTCTACTGAGACTCCCCATATGTTCACTTATTAAGACTTTATTTTCCTTCAATTACTTGAACCTATTTTTTTCTTTCCCTGTTTGACTGTATTTTTAGTAGCTACTTTAAAATTTTTGTCTGCTAAATACAAATTCTGGGCTATCTTGGGTTCAGTTTTTTTCTAGACTATTAAAACACATTTCTTTGTTTCCTTGTATGATTCAGTACTGAAAATTTGTGTATCCAGTGTAAAGACTGGATTCTGTTATCCTTCTCTGAAGAGAATTGATTCTTTTTCCAGCAGGCAGCTCAGTTACCATTTGATCAACTTAAACTGGTGAACGCTTGATTTTATGCAGATGTATAAAGAACCCAAGGCATTTACCAATCCTCTCTAATTTAGCTGAATTCTCTATCTCTGCATATTCTATCATAGCTTGATTTTAGACTTTTAGGGTAGATCTAGAGGAGGTCTTACTCTAATGTACAGTCCTTACTCCTAAGATGTGACTTTTCTGGTATCTCAGCTAAAGGTCAAGGTTGTTAAGGTGTTGATGAGCTCTCCATTCTGTCAGCACTGGACCTCTAAGTTTTCTCCCCGTCTCTTGCCAATACTTTTTCATCAACACAATTCAGCCTCTAGTATTTCTGTTCCTCTCTCAATCCCATAGCATATGCTCAATCTTCAAGTAATTTTGCTCTGCACACACACACACACAGTCTAACCCTCATCTACAGATTCAGAGAGTATGCTTACATGGATTTATGGGGGCCCTTCTCTGTACTGCTCTGTCTTCTTCAGTTCCCTGCCATGAAGATTCTAGATAATTCTGCTGCCTATGACACTTATCTTTGTCCCTTGCTCACCAGGACTTCCATGCTGTGCTCTGTCCTCAGATCTCTATATTGCAGTTGAGAAATTGTCCCTTGGCAGAGAACTTTGTGATTATGGGGCTCAACTTCATGGATTTCCTTTTCTTAGGACTCAAAGCCTTGCATTACTATTTTCTAATGTCTGAAAACAGTTATCTCGTATGTTTTTTCCAGTTTTAGAGTTGTTTATAACTAGAGGACGAATTCTGTATCAGTTCGTCCTTCAGAGATGGTAGTAGAAATAATGATTAGTGGGGTTTATGAATGAAGATTCCATAAAGTTGAGAGAACAGAAGCCAGTTTACAGTGTGGTAAGATAAAAAATAGAGGAATTTATCCATTCATTCATTTATTCAACATTTTTTAAGGCTAAACATAGTTTCTTTCCATAAAAAATGCAAAACTTCATGGGGAAGATAGATGGGGAAACAGATACGTGTGATACAGCTGAGTGCAATGCGAGTTCTAATAAAGACAAATAGAAAGTGCCACAGATGCACTCAAATGTCTGAAAGATTCAAGAGTTCCTCATAGTGAAGGAGCCATGTAAGAAGAATGTTAATATGCGCCTAGAAGTTGCAATTTGAAGAAGAGATCAATGATGCAGGCTCGGTGAGTCAAGGAGTCAAAAGAAAGATTTCTTAGACTCTCAAGTTCTGGCAGTAGTGCTCTTTTATTCAGAGAATAACATGGAGTAGCATGGGGACAGGGCCCATGGGCAGTAAAGAGCTGCAGGCATGGGGAAAAGACCAAAAGACAATAAGAGCTGCAGGCATGGGGACAGGACCCATGGGCAGTAAGAGCTGCAGGCATGGGGACAGGACCCATGGGCAGTAAAGAGCTGCAGGCATGGGGACAGGACCAAAAGACAATAAGAGCTGCAGGCATGGGGACAGGACCCATAGACAATAAGAGCTGCAGGCATGGGGACAGGACCCATGGGCAGTAAAGAGCTGCAGGCATGGGGACAGGACCGATGGGCAGTAAGAGCTGCAATGGTTTGAGGGCAGGGCTAAATTTATAAGACATGAATATGTGAGTTATTTCTTTACCAGACAAAGGAAAGATCATGAAAAAGTTGTTAAAATGGTATCAGTGCGGGTGGGGTCTGGTTATTGGGTGGTCCTATAACTTTAGATAAGAATCAGATTGGATTAAGTCAGGACCTCCTATGCTTCCCGGAGGATGATACAGATCAGTAGGACAGGACACCTTGGGCTTCTTTCCCTGGGGCACTCTTGATCCTCATCAGTCAAGATATGAGGATATTGTGGCTGCTAGTATAGATTGCTCATTTGAAAAAAAATTATTAGTTAAAGCAAAATTTAGTATAGGATAATAGCTGTAGGAAGTGGGCAGGCATAGTAGTAGGGAGACCTGTGATTCCTTAAGGGAAGCCAAAAATAAATGAAATTGTAGATTTTGAAGAGACTGAAGGAATATTCAAACTTCAAAAACAAGTGATGTGTGAAACACTTGAGATGCCCTGGAATATATTTTTAGGACTGCCTCTCTTTATTTTGCCAGTTAAAAAAAAAAATAAAAACAACCTTCATTGTATAGCTTACAATCAATAGCCAGGGAGATATAGTGGAAGTCCTGGCTCTCACAGCTACTAACTCCGTGGAGCTGGACACATTGGAAAGCTTGTCTAAGCCTTGGTTTCCTCGTATATGAAATCAAGATAATCCGTTTTATAAGATTGTTATGAAGATTAAATAAAATGTGACATCAAAAATACTTAGCATAGTCCCACGTTTGGCTAATATTTTTAGTTCCCAAAAAAACGTTAGATATGTATGAGCTAGAGTAAATGCTTTTATTTGTAAATGAAACAAATATGCCATTTTCACAAAGATTGTGTTTTTGTAGGAGGATATTATGAGACTTCATTTAAAAGATACTTAAAAGATTGCAGTTTAAATGAAAATATCTGAAATATTTACCATCTCTATGGGTTAATGTTGAAACAAAAGATCTAGCCTGAAGGCAACAGCATTACTTCTAAGTGCCTCAAGGTCAACTGAAATGAGGACAATACACCATTCTCATTGAGGCACTGAGCCTATTTGTGTCTTGCATTTAAGATCCGTGATTGAACCTATAATCCAGCCCAATAGGGTTCTTAGAGGCCAAAGGAATGCAAGTAAGCACTTCAGTAGAGTTTCATGGACAACTTTGCTGTGCTTCTGCAACCTTCAGTTGATTCAGGACATGCCAAGGATTAGAATCACTGAGGCACATCGGACTGAGTGGATTTTCTGATGAGTACAACTTGAATGCTATAGTGAGAACATCAATCACTCTGCGCAGGAGACTCCAATTTTCAGAAATGGAAGGTAGAAAATGAGGTTATTATGAGGATGAAGGGAACCTGCTTTCATTTTTTTCAGCAAGAGAAACTCATGCTGGATTGAAGGAAGAACTTCTTTGATGCTTGAGTGGTTGGATGTTATTTACATGGGAAGATGTGGAATCTCTTTGAAGGGAGAATTTAAAATATATTTCAAAGTCATTTTTTAAGTGATTTAAGATCTATTTAGAGACAAATGGATTAACTAGTTTTCTGCCTTTTTTGTTATTATTTTTTTCAATAGTTAGATAACGATGCTGTGGAACAGTTTAACTTTTTAACTTTACTTGAAGTTTTATTCTTGCTTCTTAGGTTCATTTTTATTTGTTCCATTTTAAGTCATAAATGATTATTTTAGGTTTTAGATTTTTTGAAGTTTCATTCTATAGTTCTCTGACATATTTATCAATCTGTTTATTAAAGAAAGTTTGAGGATTAGTATTAATAAAGCAGAATACTTTTTGCAATTCTGAACATCAACATTTCCTACTCTGCATATAGCTGCTAACTCACTTCCTCTGGCTGCTTTATCTTTAGGGGTGAATAAAGGCATTTACTTTAGCTACCCATGTCGACGTCACAGCTGTGCTTTAGTAAACATCCCAGCACCATGTGTCAACAAAATGATTTCACACATTGAAGATGTGGAGTCTAAAATACAGGAGCATTTGAAACAGGTAAATGACATTTAAAATGCTAACATTTTTGTAAGTTTGTAGAGTCTGTAAGGGTCTGTAACTTAAAGAACCCAGGGAGTTATTTTTTAATGGTCCTTGGAATACTTTGTGGAATCTTTGCTCAGTTCCATAATTTACTAATCTAGACATGTTTTTGATAGTCTCACTTCAGAAGGGTGAAACGACCTTATTCGTTTTTTTCCTACTTGTTTGTTCTTTATCCAGAGGCAATCAAGCGAAGTCGTAATTTCCATAAGCCAACTTGACTAGTAAATTAAATAGTATTTACATCCTTTTTAAGGACAGTAAACTGATTAGATGATTAGATGAGTAAATTGGCGTATAAAAGGACAGAGTGCCCTTTTAATGAGTTATTTTGTTCTAAAGAAATATTTAATAGGGTATAATGCTTCTTTCTTTGTCTTTTTAACCTGTTCAAGTATGCCTTTATTATTCTGAAGGGAATTCAATCTCGAAATCAGTGTAACTTTCAATTATTTTCAAAGGTTGATTTAGGAATGATAAAAACTTCTTCAAACCTTTTATTAAGATTATATTTCTGAGCAATTAATGGACAATTAGACTGCTCAATCAGGAAGATAAGTTTGCCAGAGACCTGTGCTATCTGTCTTCCTCCACCACTGTTACTAGATCCGGCTCTGAAAAAATTCTGATAAGTTACTGACGATGCTTGGTCCAGGGTGTTCTCTCCTTCGAGCCGCACTGGAGTGCGGTAGTTAAGATTGCAGGCTCTAGGGCCACACATTCTGTGACCTTGGATGGGAATGGAGGTACTATGTTGAAGTGCCAGCATATGAGATACACTTAGTATATATTAGCTGTTGTTATTTCTGTAATATTATTTATATCACTCTATATTATTATCATTACATCTGTTGCTTCTTTGTTGCTTGAAATCAGACTACCCCTTCAGGATAGCTTTGCAGGTCACAGGTCTGGTGGTGCCCTGGGCCTTGAAGAGTATAAGTACATAGAAGAGAATTAATATTTATTGATATGATATGCTGTACACATCAATTAACAGTTAGTCATGTTGTTAAAAATGATGAAAATAGATTCATGGGTGTTTTAATAAACAATTATAATGGTTATTATTTATTAAAAACCTAATATAAATCAGACACCATGTTTTACTATGTTATTTCTCTTTAGACCTCAAGACTATTGTTGAATGGTTATTGTTATATCTAATTGATAGATGGGGAAATGATAATTTAAAATAGCTCAGAAACTGTTCGAGGTCACAAAGCAGACTTGGGATTTGAGCACGCTGTTGTTAAAGCCCATGTTCTTTACCCAGTCCCCCTCGGGTCTGAGCAATGGGTAAACTGCTGAATACTATGGACAATGGGCCAATTAAAAGATTGGTTTAGGTAAAATTATTCACAGAGCAAGCTATTTTACAGCTTATCTTCAGAACAACTGAAAACAGAGCCTTCATTATGTTAATATATTATGTAATTGAGCCAACTGAATAAGTAGAAAAGCTCTAAGGAGACAAGCACCAGGGCGACTTGCTTAGACTGTCCTCTGGTTCCTGGTTCAGAGCCTAATACATACTAGGCGCTCAGTAAACGGCTGTTGAGTGAAACAATAAATGAGAACCTGGAGCAGAAACTTTCTTGCATAGATACATCTTACTATCCACCCAATATAGTAAGAGCTACTACTTACCAAATAGCGACTATTTTCCAGGCACTTAACAAATGCATATTTCTGTATTTGTCCTTTACAGGAATCCTCCTTTACTGTTGAGGGTAGTAAGCATTACACTTGGAATTTGAGCTGAGTTCCTTCTGACTCCAAAGCCCATTTCAGCCTCTCTTTTATGACCCTAACGGGCAAAAGCAGGCCTTAATTCTCGTTAACGTAGAGTGTTACTTGGCATTTTGACAACATGAAGCATGCAAAATAACAATGTCAGATATATACACTTCTAGAAAAAAGCTGTAATAATGATAATAATATGTTTACAAGTAAATAAACATGATATACATATAAACTTTATGTGAAAGATTCATTGTGAAATAAATGCTCATAACCTTTTTTAAAAAAAAATTCAAGACCTGTTGTAGACTTTCTATTTTCTGAAATTAAAAAAAAGTTATTCCATTTTCTTATTAACTATATATTTGGTAGTTAATTTGCTAGTGTTGAAGTGGTAAATAGAGTTTATTTATTTATGTTTCTTATGCTGGATTTTTGTTTAGGTCACCACAACTATTGATCGGACACTTAGTTACCTACATTTGAGTTAATATTTTGGGACTGGAGTAGCCACCTATCTTCTTTAAAGATGATTTTTTTTTTCTGACTAACCTACTAAAATGAGAAAAGAAGTTCCCATTATGATTTGGAAAAATGAATTTTTGGTAATATTAGTTAGACAACTTTACATTCATAGTCTTTCTTCAAAAATAAAAATTAAGGAAGCAAGATTTGAGAGAAATCTTTCAAAAATAGCTTGTGAATTTTTGTAAACAAAAGCTAATAGGATCTATTATTTCCAAAAAGATAAACACATATGGATTTTTATGGTAAGTTATGTATGATATTTTCCTATAGATCATAATTAAGAATTAGTTAACCTAAGCATAAAACCTAGGTTCAAATAAAGTGGGTTACTTGTGTAATAAATATTTAAAATGAATAATCTTCCTGCAGAAAATACTAAATTTTTGTAAGCGTATGTCTGGGTGCATTTTAATAATTCCAGAAATACCTGAACGAAAAGGACACTTCTTCTCAACGTTTTTACCACTTAAAAACGTTTTACCCAATAAAAGCTATCAACTGATGGTACCTTTGAGAACAGACTAACATTTTCCAGTTTTATTCAGTCATTGCCTATAATCCCCAGGACTGTCTTGTACCTCTTTAGTGCTGGGGAACAACAGGGTTTACTGCTCCACCAGTTCCCAGGGTGATTATGTCTGCAGAGAGCAAAGCAAGGCAGAGGAAAACAACTTGGTGATTACCAGCTGGAGCCTCTGCCCCAAATTCCATTGTAATCCCATAAGGAGTTGCACCACGTAAACTTTATTTTGACTTGCAGATTACCTGATTCCTCTGGATTTTAGGGTTAGGAGTCAACGCAGGCAACTGATTAATAATTCTTTCTCTAAATTCCCCAAATCTCATGTTTTATTACTCCAATTGTTGAAAAAGCCTGGTGCAATGATGAGGACAGTCTGGTCCATGAAGTGTCCATCAGCCAGCAAAAGAGAAGAGAGTGTTTGCCCAAGTACAGCCTTATTTTAGTCTCTCCTGCTGAGGCCCGCAAATCCGAAAATTTAGCTGAAATAATGTTCTTGACTTTGAATTTGTTCAATCCATAGTGATGTTTCCCCCCACTGAGGTTGAATTTTTACTGGAGACTGCAAGGAGTGCATTTATGGTGGGATTGGGATGGGGCCAAGCACAGGGAGGAAGAAAGTGATGCCCTCTCTAGGCCAGCAGTTTTTCCTCTTCTTTTAATTTGCAGCAGTTTCACTTTTGTCTAGATTGTCAACTGTGTTTCTCTATACGCTGTTTGATTTTTTAAAACAGCTTTATTGAGATAATTTACATATCATAAAGTTTGCCATTTAACGTGTACAATTCAATGGTTTTTAGTGTATTTACAGAGTTGTGTAACCATTACCATAATCACGAAAGACCACATATTATATGATCCCATTTATGTGACATATCTGAGACAGGCAAGTCTATAGAGACAGAAAGCAGACTGGGGATTTCCTAGGGCTAGAGGCGACTGCTGATGAGTGTGGGGTTTCTTTTTGGGATGATGCTTATTTTTTTTATAATCAGGTTAATCTGAATCTTTTATTAGATAAAGCTCTATAAGTAATTGTAAAGTCATCATCTACTTTGGGTATGGAATGCATTAGGTGAACGAAAGATCAGTCTTTTCAGATCAGCCGTTATAGTTGGCTTGCCCATTGTGTCACAGTGCTTTCCATTGTAGTCACAATGAATTCTATAGAGCCCGTGATTAGCAAAGATGCGTCTTCCATAAGCTTGTCCATCCCCTTACAGCAGTTTAATTGCAATGCTGAATCTTGAAAGGAGAATTCTTCAGAGTAGATTTGCTATGAACATTTTCTCTACATTTTGTTTTTGCAAAGAATGAGAAAACATTACAAAAGGATGGAACTAATCGCCTGGATAACTTCTCATACAAATAAAAGCTTTTGTTTTATCTTTCTTCCACCTCATTCTCGTAGACTTCCTGGACTAGAGATGGTTTTATTTAATTTGGGATGATCTCTACTGAACTGAAATTTTCCTCTTCATTTAATCAATATAAGTTATTAAGATGCTACCATGATTTAAAAGAATGGCATAGAGAGAAAGTATATAGAAATCATTCTTTAAAATACTATATTCTACAAATACTATATTGTACAGAATATATGGCACAAAAATAATATCAATAACAATGATAATAAAGCTATGTTTATCAAGTTCTTACTATATAGCGTAGGCTGTATTAAACACTTAATATGCATGATTTTATTGAATCCATATCAAAACCTTGTGAGGTAGAAACTGCCATTATCCCCTGTTACAAATGAAGAAAATGACTTCAAAGGCTGACTTCTCCCAAGATCACACAGTCAATTGTAGAGCCAGCATCCAGACCAGGTGTATTAGCCAACTAAGAGCGTGCCCTTTACCACTTTGGTATGTTATCTAGCCCTAGCGTGTGTCAGCTATGGAGACCAGAAAACATGAAATGCTTATGATTCTAATCAGAAAACTGCTTTGCTTATACTGTTTCACATCCGTTTTTAATTCTGAAACCTAATATTTAATCATCTGACTCTACTTAATCTCCAATATTTTTGAGTTTTCTCATTCTCTTAATTCTATTCTATCACATTTGAAACTTAAGGACAGTTCCAATTCTGACATATCCACTATTTCCCATTCTATCATCTCCATTTTTCTTTGCTTCCTTTCCTAGTCAGTTTATC